TCACACTCATAGCATTTTCCATCATTCTTATCCTGTTCGTTGTATTGCCTGGATCGCCTAGGTGGAATCCTTCCTCTTTTCGTATTCCTGAATCTTCTCATTAAACCAGCCATGTTTCTTGACATCATAGCAATTTCTTCTTGAAGGGCTTCAGGATCATCATCGATATCATTTTCAGCTATTTCAGTTGTGGCCTTGAATGCGACTGTTTTCTTTTTTTCTTCTTGATTAGTTTTCTTAATATGTGTCTTCTCAAAGGCTATGAGTTCTCCCCGTAGTTCATCATAAGATAACTTATTTAGATCCTGAGATTCAAGTGTTGCTACTTTGGTCTGCCAAGTAGTTGGTAGGCTTCTGAGAATCGATAACTTATTTAGATCCTGAGATTCAAGTGTGGCTACTTTGGTCTGCCAAGTAGTTGGTAGGCTTCTGAGAATCTTTCTAACTTGATCACCACTTGAATATGGTTTGCCGAAGGCTTTTAGATCGCTAATTAGTTTGCTGAATCTGGAAAACATCTCTTCAATAGTCTCTCCTTCTTTCATTTGGAAGAGTTCGTAATCATGAACCAACATGTTGATATGTGTTTCCTTTACCTTGCTGGTTCCTTTGTATGTAACCTCAAGCTTGTCCCACATCTCTTTGGTTGTGTCACAGCTAGAGATTTTCTCATACTCTTCACCACTTATAGTATTATAAAGCAAGTTTCTCGTCTTATTGTTGACTTGTACCACTGCCATTTGCTCGTTTGTATATGAGTCTATATCTTCAGGATCATCAAGTGGTTGAGCGGCAGCTGGCAGAGGATAATTCCCCTTTTTGATGACTCTCCAAACGTTAACATCATATGCCTTTGCATATATCTCCATACGCACTTTCCGGTGGGAAAAATATTGTCCATTGAAGTATGGTGGCCTTACTTGCGAAGTTCCTTCCTGGAAGAGTGCTCCTACGATAACTTGATTTGCCATGATCTTTTCTCACGAGCTGTTAAGCAAAAGAAAAATGTGAGCCTTGCTCTAATACCAATTGAAAGTACAAGGGGGGGGGGGGGTGAATTGTTTATTTTTTAAGCTTAATTGCTATTAGTTGACTAGTTTTTCAATTAGTCGACTAGATGTAATGAGTTGACTACAGTAACAATAGAATTTAAGATGCTGAAATTAAATGCATGAATTAAAGACACCAAATTTTTTACACTGGTTCGGATTCAGTGTGAATCCTAGTCCAGTCCCCTTGGGTTGCAAGGGAGTTCTTTTCAGTGAATGAGTTGCTTCGAGTACAGAGAGAATGGTTTGATCTACACCGATAGCTTAGTTCCTGTATCACTCGCCTCTTTTGATACAATGCCTCACCAGTGTTGTTCTCTCTTTCTTCTCTAACTTGTTACACCAGATCTTAGTTGAGCTACAATGTTTGTTTGCTGTAGAACAAAGAGAGGGTGTTTGGTTCGATCAAAGTATATGTGCTAAGGAGAGATTACAAGTTTAAATACTTTGAGAGAGGCTTGAATTCTGGAAAGATTTGCCAACCCAAGAGATTTGATCCTTGGAAAGAGATTGATTCTTTCCAAGAATAAGGCTATTCCGCGAAGGCTCTTTCGGACGAGAGGCTGTAAGGATTTTCCTTTGTGTGTGAGCCCAGAGTCTTGATTCTCCCAAATTTAGACGCTTGATTGAATATTCGGCAGGATCTCCAGTATACTTGATTTATTTGATTCCTTTTGTTTAGCCTTGTATCATTTTCTTCCTTTAATCGCGACTCGTTTCCTTGATGTCCTCTGATTGATTCCGTCAATCTTGTATACCAATCCATACGATCCTTGATCATTGCTGATTGATTTCTCCAATCTTGAATGCTATCCAAGAGTTCCTATACAAAGAGCAAATATATTATTTTCATCATTAAAATTATATCTAACATACTATACTATGCGGATTACACTATTTTCATTCTCTTCGTATTATCTAGTTTTGCTCTTTTTGGTTATATATCTAAGCACAACAAAGGAAAGGTATAATTACTTTCATGTTCCAGAATAGCTCTTCAAGAGCCTTGACTATGGGGGTTTATGTTGCTATCAAAACCTTGATTTCATTTTGATATGCTCTAAGTGCTCGATCCTTCGATAAAGAAATTCACATAAAGAATTGAAATTCAACTATATTTTGATCTTATATTCATACATAGCATGTTATACGTATCTATCCATGATCATAAAAGAAAGTTACAAAAAAATAAAATGAGTTGACTCATCATTAATAAGTCGATTGAAAACATATCACATAGCGTAGAAGTATTTCATCGAATTATCTAACGAAAATAGCAATGAATTGCGTTGCCTCCTTATGGTGTTATCAAGAAAAATAAAGATGAAGGATAGTATTCTAGGGTCTCTTTAGTTTAACAACAGAAGTGTATACTAATGTGAAAATATTCCCTAATATTTTTCTCGTTATACTTGTATTTTTTTTTTACTTTTTCCTTAATTTATGTTTTATAATTGAAGGATTTTACTTCTTACTGTAAGTTAGGGATATTATTATATTCTTTTAAAATAAAATAAATTCTCATGTAGGAATTTTTCTTATACTCCTGGACGTTCTAGACTATAGCTTAATGATAGTGTTGATGTTGTGAATATCATATATTCAACGTTCGATTGCTATTTGATTTTTTTTCTTCTCATTTCTTGTTTTTTCATTGCTATATATTTCAAGACCGAGAATGATAATTCCAATCTAAAATTAGATCTAATTCCTTTATGACCCAACCTTTGGCTTGACTTTTACAAGACCATGTTGATCGGCGCAAAGCCACACATGATTGCAATACACGTTCTGTGTAACAAAACAATCAACTGTAAGTACCATGCCAGTAACATTAGGATTTGTGCTTTCTACGATGGCTTTGGCTTTCATGATCTCAACTCCTACCAACTCCGGCCACTCATATTGAATTGAATCTCCAGGTTGTTTGCACTGATTGCCAACGCAGGAGCATGTCTCACAAGGAGGGTATGGAATTTTTTATTGGATAAAAATTCATGAAATAAGAAATAAATAGAAAGCCAAGAAGAAAATGGGCTATATTTCTCTCCATGTTTAAGTTGTTTGTGATGTTATGTTAATGGAAGAACTTCACATTTTATAGGGACATAAAATAATGGTGATGATAAAATCTACACTAATTGTGGAGAAATTCACACATGCAACAGAAATGGAGAAGAAGAAGAAGAGAGGAAATGAGAGAAACAGAGATCATTTGAAGAAGAGCTTAATTTAGCTCATTACAAAGGAGGTGGTCCCCTTTTATACAGTACTAACCGCCTCTTAACTAACTAATACAACATTTACACTTTAGTCCCTTAAGTAGCCACTTAGTGTACTTCTAGCGCTCATAACAATACTCCCCTTCAAGCTGGGGGTTGAAACACATTCAGCACCCCAAGCTTGGACAACAGGAAATGATGCTGAGAAGACCCTAATCCTTTGGTCATGAGATCAGCTAACTGCAAATTAGTGGAAATGTATTGTGGTGTCAACTGCCCATTCTTGATCTTTTCTGTCACAAAATGACAATCGATCTCAATATGTTTAGTACGTTAATGGAATATAGGATTATCAGCTATTTGTAGAGCTGCTTTACTATCACAATGCAGGGACACTGGCTGCTAAACCTGGACATGTAGCTCCTTAAGCAATCCTAGGAACCATGTGATTTCTGCAGCTGCTGCTGCTAAACTCCTGTACTCAGCTTCTGGAGAGCTTCGACCGACAGTCTGTTGCTTCTTGGACTTCCATGAGAGTAAAGAATTCCCCAATTTGATGAAATACCCTGTGACAGATCTTCTAGTATTAGGACAAGAAGCCCAGCCTGAATCACAGTAGGCAGACAATGTATCAATAGGTCCTGCTTCAAGCAAAATCCCAAGGCCTGGTGCTGCCTTTACATATCTCACTACTCTCAGTGCTGCATCCCAATGAGATTGCTTTGGTTGCTGCATAAACTGACTGAGTACCTATACAACAAAACTCAGGTTTGGTCTGGTGATGGTCAGGTAAAGTAATTTACCAATCAATTTTTGATAACTCCCTATGTCCTCAAGTTCTGCATCTCCATTTACCCCTACATGCTTATCATACTCAATAGTTGTCAGCTTCTGATTAAGGTCTATTGGAGTGGAGATGGATTTAGCTCCTGCAAGTCCAACTTCTGATATCAACTGGAGTGCATATTTTCTTTGTAAGGAGTATCCCCTTCTTTGATCTCAAAACTTCAATGCCAAGAAAGTACCTCAACTCCCCTAGGTCCTTAACCTTAAAATAGTTTTGTAATGTCTGCTTGGCTTCCTTTATCAGCTCTGCACTACTTCTAGTAATAAGCAAGTCATCCACATATACTAAGATAACAACAATGTCTAAAGTTGTGTTCTTAGTGAACAGTGAATGATCATAAGCACTCTGATGATACTGCCTTCACCAAAGCTTCAGTCAACTTGATATTCCATTGTCTTGAAGCTGCTTAAGACCATATAGTGATTTAAGTAGCTTACAGACCTTATACTCTCCTTGTCTCTGGAAACCTTGTGGCAGTTCCATGTAGACATCTTCATATAGATCCCCTTGCAAGAAGGCATTATTCACATCCATTTGGAAAAGACCCCATCCTTTAGAGGCTGCTATGCTAATGACTGTTCTAATAGTAACCATCTTTGCTACTGGAGAAAAAGTCTCATGATAGTCCAACCCTTCTTGCTGTGTGTAACCCTTTGCTACTAATCTAGCCTTGTATCTTTCTATTTCCCCATTTGCTTTATACTTTATCTTAAGCACCCACTTGGATCCTATAGCCATCTTTCCTGCCGGTAGATCAACAATGCTCCACGTTGCATTATCTTCAAGAGCCTTGATCTCTTGTGACATAGCTTCTACCCAGTTTGGGTCCTGACATGCTTCCTTAAAGCTTTTTGGTTCAACTGCTGCAGAGAACATTCCCAATTAAGCTTGATAATGTGTTAACAAATGACAATATGAGACATTGTTGGAAATGCAATGAGGATGTTTTTGAGTGTTTGAGCTTGTAACATAATCTTTCAGCCGCATGGAGGGCCTTGTAGTCCCGCTAGATTTTCTGACATCAGTTGTTTCAGAAGCCACACGTTCAGTAAGTGACTGGCCTGGAAGTGGATATGTGTCTGACTGCACATCAATGGTCTCCGTGGGATCAATAGTGTCAACTGAATCTACTGCATCTTCAATTGAATCCAGAGTCTGAGTGTCTGCTGCAGCTGTTGGTTCCATGACTGGTGCCTGGGCTGCTTCAACTTGACCATGTGCTCCGGAGGAGTTTGATTCCTCAGTGATGGTCTGAAGTGAGTGTTCAGGTAAAGAATCATTTGGTATGAGAGGCTCACATGGAAATAAATCTTCAGTGATTTGAGTTCCTTCCTTGAAAGGAAACACTTGTTCCCTGAATGACACATCTCTACTGATGAACACTTTTCTAGCATTCAAGTCAAACAATCTGTACCCCTTCTGTGTCTTAGAGTATCCTATAAGAACTGACTTTCTTGCTCTTGGACTGAATTTGTCACCACCTGGTAAGTTGCTTGCAAAACACAAACAACCAAACACCCTTAGGTGCTCTATCTTTGTTGGTTTGTTATGCAGCATTTCATATGAACATTTCCTTTGCAACACTCTTGTGGTTAGTTTATTAATAAAATATGCTGCTGTCCTCACACAATCACCCCAGAATCTCATTGGCACCGAGCTTTGAAACATTAGTGCCCTTACAACTTCTAGGATATGTTTGTGTTTCCTCTCCACTGTGCCATTCTGTTGGGGTGTATATGGACAACTACTCTGATGTATAATTCCCAGAGATGCTAGCAACTCATTGCATTGAGAATTAAAAAATTCACTACCATTATCAGACCTCAACACTTTCACATTAACCCCAAGCTGATTTTTTATCATAACAAGAAAGTTCTTTATTACAACCAACACTTCACACTTTGATTGGATCAAGCATACCCAGGTATATCTACTGTAATCATCCGCAATGGTAACAAAATAGTTTTTCTATCATATGTGGGTACCTTATGAGGTCCCCAAACATCTAGGTGGATGAGTTGAAAGGAACACTCTGAGCTACTATTACTTGAAGGAAACTTTAACCTACACTGCCTAGCTAATGAACACACATTACAATTTTCTTGCACCTGCATGTCCACTTTATTCCTCAATTCTAGAATATGCTGCATTGACTTCAGAGATGCATGGCCTAATCTCAGGTGCCAGAGTTTACTTTCAGCCCCTTTATTCACCAAGAAACCTGCTACAACTACTGTTATGTTCTCCTTCAGCAAGTATAATCCATTGTGTTCTCTACCAATCCCCATCACCCTGCCACTGTAAAGATCCTGAAACATACGGAAGTCAGGAAAGAATGTGGCTGTGCAACTGAGATCTTTGGTGAGCTTTGACATAGACAACAAGTTGAATTTAAAATATGGTACATATAAGACATTTTTAACTGTCTTATTTCCCAGTATAGATGCTTCCCCAGTGTGAGTTATTTGTGCCTTATTTCCTGTGGGCAATTGCACTTCACTCCTTCCTTGATCATAAGTTCTTCTCATATTACTCGGAATATCCTTAGTGTATGTGACATGATGAGTTGCTCCTGTATCTATTACCCAATCAAAATCACACATACCAACATTGCCAATAAGGAAACTATACCTGTCATGTTAGTAGAGCATTCGGGTGTTGCTGGCTTTGACAAAAGTTGAACAAGCTGCTTGTACTGTTCCTCAGTGAAGAATTGTCCATTCCCTTGCGCCTGAACAGCTGCTACCTTATTTTCCTCATTGTTCACATTCACACTGTTGGTATAGACCTTTCCTCCTCCAGTCTGGTTTTTTCTCTTGCTCCTGAAATCTGCTGGATAGCCAATTATCTTAAAACAATTCTCCTTAAGATGACCTTTGTAGCCACAATGCTCACAAATGATTCCTGGCCTTTTACCTCTAAAATCTGCACTTTTTCCTAATAACATAGTGAGTGGTTCCTTATGTGTATCTACCACTCCTAGGGCTCTTTGGCTTTCTCCTGAGTAACTACTGCATAAGCTTCATTAACAGTCACAACAGGTCTCTTTGCTAGTACATTACTCCTTATGTTACTGTAAGTTTCATTTAATCCATAAGAAACTGTAGTACATGTTGTGATCTTAAATGTTCAATTGAAGGTCTAGCCTCCTCACAGTCATATGAAGACAGAGGCACCAACATATCTAATTCATCCCATAAATCCTTCATTTTAGAAAAATACAAAGTTACAAAATCAGTACCTTGTCTCAATGTCGCTATAGCTGTCCAAAGATGATAGATTCTAGTTAGATCTGATCTATCAAACCACTCCTGGAAATCATTCCATACCTTTCTTGCATTTGAAGCATAGACAATGCTTGGCATAAGCTCATTTGATATAGTACTCCCGATCCACGACAAAACTATTGCATTGCATTTTTCCCATTGCTCTGCCAATGCGCCTTTATATGTGCTTTTCACACAGGTTCCGTCTACAAACCCTAGTTTACTCTTTCCCCGGAGTGCTAATTTCATCGCCCTGCTCCACAGTGCGTAATTGTCTGGCCCTGTGAGTTTGAGCGGTATTAGAACAAGTCCAGGAGTATCTGAGGGTTGCAAAAACAGCGGATGATTATGATCTAGTGAAGCAACTTCATTTTCGGCCATGGCTGAACAGATCGGAGTTCCGTTGAGCCACAGTCAAGCTTCGATTCTACAAATTTCTTTCTAATTCCGATGAATCTGTGATCGCCGCTCTGATACCATGATAAAAGCTACACTAATTGTGGAGAAATTCACACATGCAACAGAAATGGAGAAGAAGAAGAAGAAGAAGAAGAAGAAGAAGAAGAAGAAGAAGAAGAAGAAGAAGAAGAAGAAGAAGAAGAAGAGAGGAAATGAGAGAAATAGAGATCATTTCAAGAAGAGCTTAATTCAGCTCATTACAAAGGAGGTGGTCCCCTTTTATACAGTACTAACCGCCTCTTAACTAACTAATACAACATTTATACTTTAGTCCCTTAAGTAGCCACTTAGTGTACTTCTAGCTCACATAACAATAGTTGAGAGAATTTTAGTAATTATATTAGGATTAAATATAATATAATCAAGATTTGTGTAATAATAATACTATTAAAATACATTTAAAGATATTATAAGATAGTTATGTTTCTTCTAGTTTAGGATCTACATTAATGGTAGAACATTTATCTTCTTTTAGTTTAGGAATAATAATTTTATATTTACTTTCCTTTAGTTTAGGATTTATAAGGAAAGTAACATAATTTCCCTCTTTTATGAATTTTCATTTTCTTTTGGTTTAGTAATAAAAATATAAATTTATTTGGTCTTTGGAAATAATTTTGTTTTATTTCCTTTAGTTACCTATATTTAGCGACGGACTATTCTACTTTAGAATCATCCCAATGAAGCATCCAATGAGTCTTCATTCATTATCTAATTCTTTGGATTCTTTCTTTAGTTTTGCTTTGAGTTTCTAACAACGGGTATTAGAGTTTCCATTGATCTTAACATCTTTGTGTGTTCCCTAATGATGGCTAATTTTCAAAAATATTTAACCCTGCCTATTTACAATTATAATTACATAATACTTATATTTAACGCATGAGGTTATTTTTATCGATATTAATTCTTTAATCCGTTTTTAACTCGTAAGTACTTTTAATGTTATTTTTTAACTATGGCAAGTAGGGGTATGAAATGGGCAATTTGTTCTAAAATTAGGTAGATCAAAATGTGATGAATTAATAAATGAGCAGGTCAATAAGCCGCTCAACATTAAAGTGGACTAAAATGAACAGGTCTAGATGGGAAAAAAACGAGTCTAACTCAACCCGCCTAATTTTGACTCAAACCCGAATGTGAATTTTTGGGAAAGTGGTCAAATTTACCCTTGTCCTTTCCGAAAATATTTACATATATTCTGCTCTTGAAATTACTCAATTATATCCCTCCTGACTAACAGATTTGAACTAACTTTGAAATAATTATTATATAAAATAAATTGTTAAAACTTGAAATCTCTTATTAGTAATTATTATATAAAATAATATTACATGTTATGCATAACAATATAGTATACTCTTAATATTTTTTGGGGCCTTTTAGTGTCACGATCCAATTCCATTATAGGCCGTGAAGGCGACCAACACCGTCACCTGCCTCAAATCCTGTACAATTAAGTACAAAAGTGTAGCGTGAGTACACAAAAATATGTACACAGTAAGTATCTAGTCTAACCTCGAAGAAGTAGTGATGACGGATCGACTCCGACACTTACTAAGGGCCAATCGATATGATAATATGAACATCTAATTAAGCATGATATATAGAGATAACAATAACACTCAGAACAAGAAATAACTGAAAAATTATTTCACCATATTTAAGAACTCAAATCACTTCCTTCATTTAAAACAATGATCTTTCAAACAATGAATTTATACCATTTATAAAAAGGAACTTCCACTTCTATTATCACGCACAAATTCTGTCGAGGACATTCGACCCGATCCAAAATAAATGTAAACAGTGCATTGCCGAGGGTCGAACGACACGAACCATAGATGCATCTATTAACCTGCCGAGGCGAATGGCCCGCTCCCATGAGAGTAGTAGAAAGAATTACCCCGCTCGTGAAATATACTTGCGAAGCGGTCAAATATAATTTATCAACAAATCATAATCCTTTCTTGATTCTTTTCAAAATAAAGACAATTCAACTTGAAGCTTTTAAATTCTTAAAAATCCTCAACATAGTTCCATTTGATACTGTTAACAAAGATAATCAAACAATGGTGCCTGTCGACACCCCCTTTTTTCTAAAAGTGAAATCGGGTTTACGACATTCGGGAAGACAACTCTATTCCCGTTTGGGAATTGGATTTTTGGATTTGAAGAGTCGCCACCTAATGATTAAGTGCATTAGGACACTAAGGGTTTTGAATTTGAAAACCAGAGTTCGGGTAAGGGCTAGAAATTATCTCGAGGGGAAGGTGTTAGGCACCCCTCAAGATCCACTAGTGTGGTTTCCGGCCATGCTATGTTGTGACTTTACAAATAATCAATCAAGGCTCAAATAAGGACTTGAAATTAAATTGAAACTTGTGAAAGTAAGTAGAAAGAGAGCAGAGATTTGAAAGGTCTAAACGATTCTAAAGAGAGCAAACAAAGACAAACAAAGGAAAAGGGGTCCTAGGTTTATGATTAATATGGATCACTTCAATGCAATACCCAGCAATCACTCCTCAAATAGGGGTCGCATGTGATATTAGCGCATCGGTCATCATCTCCATATTCTACCCTTCCCACCCCGCAAAGGTTATTTAAACGTGTGGATTGGTCACGAATGCTTATTGCGTGCTATTACCCGTCTCGTCCCATAAGTCCTAGAGGGTATTTAGGACCACTATTCCTACAAGGTAAGGTCTAGGCTGAACCCTTAGGTTTAAAGGACAAAATGCTAGGCGACATACATAACAAGTAGGACTACACATAAAGGAACCATACAAAGGCAAATAAGAGGCTCACAGATCCCTCACAGGTAAACATGTAATTAGCACGTCTCAAACACATTTAAGGTCTTAAAAGGACGCGAGTTTAAAGATCAGTTTTAGCAGAAGGTTTAACCACAACTGAGTGATTCAAAGAGTGTTTGACTTGCAGAAATACAACTAAGAAAACAGTTGAGTAAGTAAAGGTGAGGGAACTGTTAAAACATCGTTTAAAAAAAAGGATTTGAAAATAGTTTAAGTAAACAAGTATCAAAATGACATGATCCTGGGCGGAAAGGTACCAGTAATTTAATGTCACGACCCAAAATCCACTACGGGTCGTGATGGCGCCGGACACCGCTGTCAGGCTAGCCAACTAAATTGCCACTTACTTCCTCTTTTAACACTTTTGAAAATCTAAGGTTTTTCTTTCCATTTTACATAAAATAAGATCATTGCTTGAATTCAAATTTAAATAATAGTAATTAGTACAAGGATTTACTGAAACCATCCCAGAAACCCGGTGTCACAAGTGCATGAGCAACTACTGATAAGGACATAAAATACAACACTACATCCGTCCGGAATACAATGGACGGAAAAGAAATACAGTTACTAGAAAGGGACTTTAAAGAGCTACGGGTCGCCTCGCATACTGCAACTCACCTAGTCCCCGAATCGTTCGTGCTGCTGCGCCCAGTAGGCCGCTAAAGTATCATGTACCTGTGCAACAAAAATGCACAGAAGTGTAGTATGAGTACGTAATCAACGTGTACTCAGTAAGTATCCCGCCTAATCCCGGAGGGGTAGAGACGAGATGGTCAACTCTGACACTTACTAATAGTCCAATAATGGTTCTTCTTCAATACATATATATGCTAACCAGTGGGTTTATTCTATAAACATGATTTTAGTCCAAGTAGAAGGAAACAAATAGTCAATTAATTCTTTTATAAGAAATTTCCCAGAATTTCCTTTTTAAATATATTCCGAATATTTTTAAGCCATGAAAGGCAATAACAATTTAATTAAGTTCCAGGCAGCAATTCAAGCAAGCGCAAATCATACCGAGGCGTCGGCCCGCTCCAACAGAAATAAATGTGCACTTGCCGAGGGTCGACGGCGCGCCTATAGATGCATCTATTAATCTGCCGAGGCGTTCGGCCCGTTCCAAAATAAACACACACAGACAGATAAACAGTCAAGAAGTCAACGTGAGCAATTATCCAGGAAGGCCAATCCTCTTTAATAGTTTGAGAAAACGAAGCTTATGTCTTTTAGAAAAATCCAATT